CAAATTGGATAGCGTGGAGGGATATAAGGTGAGCGGGTCTAAGGGCAGGAGAGGAGAGTTTAATAGGGAGGAGGAACACGACCACTTCCTCGATATTCTCCGCTTTCCGTCATTACTCCCCCTTCCTACCTCGTCTCTGCCTGCCTGACCCACTGTCCTGCTGTGATATCCTGCTGTGGTGTGTTGCTGGTACTGATGGTGTTGCTAGTACTAGTTCTCCTGTTTTGCTGTGGTGTTGCTTGTACTGACGGTGTTGTTGCTCGTCCTAGTACACTTGTTGGTGTTAGTGCTATTGTTTGGGGCGGGGTTGATATAATTGTGGTTGTAGTGCTAGTATTGTTGTTGTTGGTGGTGCTGCTGCTAGTAGTGGCAGAGGCGAAGTTATTGTTGGGCCTGTTATTGTTTTTATTATTATTGATGTTATTGTTGTTACGTCACCACACTGGGTAGTACTTGTTACAGCTGTTGTCTCCTTCCCCTGGTACGTCTGTCTGTCCATCCATCCGTCCAGTCAATCTCCATTTGTTTACCTCCCATTGCCCAGTGTACTCTAGCTGTAATAATAATAATAATAATAATAATAATTAACGGTTTATTGAAAGAGCTTGGCAGCCAGAAGGCTGAAAATATACAGTTACATATTTGGGGAATGGGTTACGAGTTACAAATAATATACAAGTAACATAAGTGATACAAATAAGATATATAATAACTAGATGGGAAAAAGCTCAAACTACAGTGCATTTCAACATAGTGACAGTGCAAGAAGTAGTATTTACTGGGAGTGAATACACTGGTTTATTACAAGTTATTGTTAATTTTTACAATGGTTGGGACTGGGCTGTTCTTATAGCGGTCAGTTAGTGCACGTATGGGCTGGATGCCGTTGTGTTGTCGAACAGCAATTCTCGGGCTGGGGATCTCAGGTGGTAGTAGGAGCCGGTGTCGAGGATGGTGTAGAAGCTTCTTACCAAATTTGCAAATGAGGTCGTGGTGATGGTCAGTGAGAGTCGAAAGGGTTAGTGTGTTGAGCGCTTCTTGATATGTGGAGTAGGAAGGGGAGAGAATAATCTTGCATGCCCTCTTTTGCACTTTTTCTAGGTGTTTACATTGTGTGGCATTTAGGGAGGAAGACCAGGTGGGGGAGGCATAGGTGAGCTTGGGAAGTATGAATGTTGTGTAAACGCTGAGGAGCTCGGGTGCAGGAACTCCGAGGGACTTGAGTCGGCGGAGGAGGTGGAGACGGAAACTGGAGGATTTGACAACTTCACTGACTTGTGGTTTCCAATTTAGTTTGTTGTCTATGGTGACGCCGAGGAGCTTTGTGGAATCTACAACCTGGAGTGTGTTCGGACCTAAAGTAATGGAAGGAGGTGGGACAATGTCGGAGGAGAGGTTGATGTGCATAACCATGGTCTTGGTATGGTTGATGGTGACATGGTTGTTGGTGGCCCAGGTTTGGAGACTGTTCAATAAATCCTGAAGGGCGGCATAGTTGGGAGCAGAATTGTTGACGCTGATCCCAATGGTGGAGTCGTCGACATATTTCCAGCGAGCAGGGGTTTCTCTTAGGGCATCATTGATGAGCATAAGGAAGCAGAGTGGCCCCATCTTGGTGCCTTGGGGGACGCCACAGGTGAGTGACTGAAAGGTGGAGACAGCCCCTCGGAAGCGTACAGCTTATGTCGGTCACTGAGGAAGTCTGTAAGCCGGTGTAAGATTCTCCGGAAGCCCGGAGGTCAATAGCGCTTTTAGTTGATGATTATATTGTGGTCGACCAGGTCGAATGCTTTAGTGAAATCAATGAAGGCGACAGCTACAGACGTTTTTCGTTTCTCGAGATGGCGGTATATGTAATCGAGAAAGCTGACAAGACAGTGAGTGGTGGAGGAAGTTTTCATGTTGCCAAATTGCTGAGGTGTCTACGACTCCTGCAATATCAGCATAAGCCCTGTCGAACACAAAACTTTCACAGATTAGGCTGGGTATTGGGGTGATTGCAATAGGTCGTAGCTGATTTTAGGATTGTGGGCTGGTTGACTTGGGCACTGGTGATACATAAGAGGTCTTTCAGTCAGCTGGGCATCTGGCTTGACTGAGAGAAGCATTGATGATGGAGCAGAGTGGGTTTAGCAAGCCCGGGGAGAACTCTTTGAATAGTTTCATTGGTAAGTCAATGGGGGTGGAAGAGTTTTAATTTTAGTTTGTCCAGGCGTTTTGACGTCAAACTTCTACTAAGTCAGTGGGGGGGGCTGGTAGGTAAGCAGGTGAGTGTTGTACTGCCGGGAGCGTCTGGGTATAGTAGCGAAATGGTTATTTGATTGCTCAGCTGCGTCAACATTAGTGAGATGGCTAAGGAAGGAGGGGTGTGTCATATTGTTTAGTCCACAGAGTTCTTGCTACCATACCATTGACTGATGTTGGTCTGCTTCAGGTGTCTGTCTGTTTGTCCAGTTCTCCTTCAGTCGCTTGTGTGTTCGTGTCAGCTAATGGGGGAGGAATGGAGGAACATGTCAGCATCAGTAAGGTTGTCAGGCGTCAGCATACGGTAGTTCGTGTCAGTCGTCAGCAGAAGAGAGAGAAAGAGAGGTTATGAAGGGGAGGTAATATGGACTCCCTCACCAACCCACCTGACCTTACGACCCACATGACCTCACGACTCACATGACCCACATGACTTAATGACTCCATACGACTCATACGTTCCCACGACCCACACGACCTCATGACCCACACGACCCACATATGACCCCACGACCCCTACGACCCACACGACCTTACCAACCCACACACGACCCACACGACCCACACGACCCTTCGACCCACATGACCCCACTCCACATGACCCCACCCCACACGACTCCACGACCCACACGACCCACATGACCCCACGACCCAGATGACTTTCGACCCCTACGATCCCACGACCCACACGACCAATCAGCATGAAGCTACCTCAACTCATACCCTCAAACGCGTGTTGTTGTCACCATGATAGACCCGAGGGAGGGAGGGGAGGGGAGGTCCGTAAAATGTCTCTCACGGCCGTATTTATCTGACTCGGAGTTTCAGCAACAATAAAGCGAATAGGTTTCCATTAATTGCTCTGAATATTGTGTTAACTGTTGTTGCATATATTGACCTGTGACCTGTGTCTATTGTTTTACTGTTATGACCATCCGACACACACACACTCCTTCATTACATTGCCACCGACCAGTTGCTTGTATCGTTTACTCTGGGTGTGTGTGGAGGTTTTACATGTGTACTGGCAGGTGTAGAGGTTTTTATGTGTACTGCAGGTGTGTGGAGGTTTTATATGTGTACTGCAGGTGTGTAGAGGTTTTATATGTGTACTGGCAGGTGTGGAGGTTTTATATGTGTACTGGCAGGTGTGGTGTGTTTTACATGTGTACTGGCAGGTGTGTGGAGGTTTTACATGTGTACTGGCAGGTGTGGGAGGTTTTACATGTGTACTGGCAGGTGTGTGGAGGTTTTATATGTGTACTGGCAGGTGTGTGGAGGTTTTATATGTACTGGCAGGTGTGTAGAGTGTTTTATATGTGTACTGGCAGGTGTGTGGAGGTTTTACATGTGTACTGGCAGGTGTGTAGAGGTTTTATATGTGTACTGGCAGGTGTGTGTGGAGTGTTTTACATGTTTACGTTAGGTGTGTGTAGAGTGTTTTATATGTGCACTGGCAGGTGTGTGGAGTGTTTTACATGTGTACTGGCAGGTGTGTGGAGGTTTTATATGTGTACTGGCAGGTGTGTGGAGGTTTAACATGTGTACTGGCAGGTGAGTGGTTTTATATGTGTACTGGCAGGTGTGTGTGAGTGTTTTACATGTGTACCAAGTGTGTAGAGGTTTTATATGTGTACTGGCAGGTGTGTAGAGTGTTTTATATGTGTACTGGCAGGTGTGTGGAGGTTTTACATGTGTACTGGCAGGTGTGTGAGTGTTTTATATGTACTGGCAGGTGTGAGGTTTTACATGTACTGGCAGGTGTGTAGAGTGTTTTACATGCATATGGCAGGTGTGTGGAGGTTTTACATGTGTACTGCAGGTGTGTAGAGTGTTTTGCATGGTACTGGCAGGTGTGTAGAGTGTTTTGCATGTGTACTGACAGATGGGTAGAGGTTTACATGTGCACTAGCAGGTGTGTGGAGGTTTTTCATGTGCAATGACAGGTGTGTGTAGAGGTAGAGTGCTGGGTGTAGAGTGTTTACATGTGTACTGGCAGGTGTGTAGAGTGTTTATATGTGTGTACAGTGTGTAGAGAGTTTACATGTGTACTGGGTGTGTAGAGGTTTACATGTGTACTGCAGGTGTGTAGAGTTTTTCATTGTAGGTAGAGTGTTTTACATGTGTACTGGCAGGTGTAGAGGTTTTACATGTACTGGCAGGTGTGTAGAGTGTTTTACAGGTAGAGGGTTTTACATGTGTACTGACAGGTGTAGAGAGTTTTACATGTGTACTGGCAGGTGTGTAGAGTGTTTTATATGTGTACTGGCAGGTGTGTGATGCGTTTACATGTGTACAGACAGGTGTGTAGAGAGTTCTTACATGTACGGGATAGGTGTGGAGTGTTTTGTATGTGTACTGGGATGTGTGTAGAGTGTTTTACATGTGAATGGGGTGTGTGGAGGTTTTACATGTGTACTGGCAGGTGTGTAGAGGTTTCATGTGTACTGATAGGTGTGTAGAGTGTTTTATGTGTACTGGCAGGTGTGTAGAGGTGGTTTTATGTGTACTGGCAGGTGTGTAGAGGTTTACATGTGTACTGGCAGGTGTGTAGAGTGTTTTACATGTGTACTGGCAGGTGTGTAGACTGTTTTACATGTGTACTGGCAGGTGTGTAGAGTGTTTTACATGTGTACTGGCAGGTGTGTAGAGTGTTTTACATGTGTACTGACAGGTGTGTAGAGTGTTTTACATGTGTACTAGCAGGTGTGTGGAGTGTTTTACATGTGTACTGACAGGTGTGTCTCTCTCTCCAGGTGATGGTGACCAGGTGGGCGTGACAACACTGTAGGAGGAGGAGGAGGAGGAGGGATGATGGCCTCCTGGCGACCTGACCCAAGGGCGCCGCCATTCGTGCCTCGGCGGTCCTGTGAGGGACGCCGGAGCGGCCCTAGCAGCAGCACCTACCACCACCACCTACCGCAGCTGCTGCCTCGAGGGAGACGCCTGGCAAAGCTCCTTCAGGTAAGTCCTCATAATTACCAACTAAGGTAATAAATAATGTTGCCAGAAAAAATTTACATAATTATTATGATTACGTAACGTGGTGGCAGAGAGACACGAGGTCGTGGTGGCAGAGAGACACGAGGTCGTGGTGGCAGAGAGACACGAGGGCAGTGGTGGCAGACAGACACGAGGTCGTGGTGGCAGAGAGAGACACGAGGTCGTGGTGGGCAGAGAGACACGAGGTCGGGGTGGGCTGAGAGACGAGGCAGTGGTGGGCTGAAAGACAGGTCGTGGTGGCTGAGAGACACAAGGCAGTGGTGGCAGAGAGACACGAGGCAGTGGTGATTGAGAGACACGGAGGCAGTGGTGGCTTAGGTGATAACAGAGGCAGTGGTGGCAGAGAGAGACACGGAGGCAGTGGTGGCAGAGAGAGACACGAGGCAGTGGTGGCTGAGAGACACGAGGCAGTGGTAAGAGAGACACGAGGCAGTGGTGGCAGAGAGACACGAGGCAGTGGTGGGCTGAGACACGAGGTCGTGGTGGCTTGGAGAGACACGAGGTCGTGGTGGCAGAGAGACACGAGGTCGTGGTGGCAGAGTGACACGACAGTGGTGGTAGAGAGACACGAGGTCGTGGCAAAGAGACACGAGGTGTGGTGGCAGAGAGACACGAGGCCGGTGGCAGAGAGACACGAGGCAGTGGTGGCAGAGAGACACGAGGCAGTGGTGGCAGAGAGACACGAGGCAGTGGTGGTGAGAGACAAGGGCAGTGGTGGCTGGAGAGACACGAGGTCGTGGTGGTTGAGAGACAATGAGGTCGTGGTGGCTGAGAGACACGAGGCAGTGGTGGCAGAGAGACACGACGCAGTGGTGGTTGAGAGACACGAGGTCGTGGGTGGCTGGGAGAGACACGAGGCAGTGGTGGCAGAGAGGACACGAGGCAGGGTGGCTGAGAGACACACGGGTGGTGGCTGAGAGACACGACGCAGTGGTGGTTGAGAGACACGAGGTCGTGGTGGCTGAGAGACACGAGGCAGTGTGGTGGCAGAGAGACACGGATGCAGTGGTGGCAGAGAGACACGCCGACGCAGTGGTGGTTGAGAGACACGAGGCAGTGGTGGCAGAGAGACACGAGGCAGTGGTGGCAGAGAGACACGAGGCAGTGGTGGCAGAGAGACACGGGGCAGTGGTGGTTGAGAGACACGAGGTCGTGGTGGCTGAGAGACACGAGGCTCGGGTGGCTGAGAGACACGAGGCAGTGGTGGCAGAGACACGACGCAGTGGTGGTTGAGAGACACGAGGTCGTGGTGGCTGAGAGACACGAGGCAAGTGGTGGCAGAGAGACACGAGGCAGTGGTGGCTGGAGAGACACGACGCAGTGGTGGTTGGGAGAGACACGACGCAGTGGTGGTTGAGAGACACGGTCGTGGTGGTTGGAGAGATTAATGAGGCAGTGGTGGCAGAGAGACATGCAGTGGTAGAGACACGACGCAGTGGTGGTTGAGAGACACGAGGCAGTGGTGGCAGAGAGACACGAGGCAGTGGTGGCAGAGACACGAGGTCGTGGTGGCAGAGAGACACGAGTGGTGGGCAGAGAGACATGAGACAGTGGTGGCAGAGAGACACGAGGCAGTGGTGGTTGAGAGACACGAGGCCGTGGTGGCTGAGAGACATGGGGCCGGTGGTTGAGACACGAGGTCGTGGTGGCTGAGAGACACGAGGCAGTGGTGGCAGAGGAGACACGCAGTGGTGGTTGAGAGACACGTAATGAGGTCGTGGTGGCTGGAGACACGAGGCAGTGTGGCAGAGAGACACGAGGCAGTGGTGGCTGAGAGAGACGACGAGTGGTGGCTGAGAGACACGAGGTCGTGGTGGCTGGAGAGACATGAGCTGTGGTGGTTAGAGACACGAGGCAGTGGGTGGCAGACAGACACGAGGCAGTGGTGGCTGAGAGACACGACGCAGTGGTGGTTGAGACACGAGGTCGGGTGGCGGAGACATGAGGCAGTGTGGTGGCAGAGAGACACAGAGGCAGTGGTGGCTGAGAGACACGAGGTCGTGGTGGCTGAGAGACACGAGGTCGTGGTGGCTGAGAGACACGAGGCAGTGGTGGCAGACAGATGAGGCAGTGGTGGCTGGAGAAGCACGACGCAGGTGGTTGCTGAGAGACACGAGAGGCAGGTGGCAGAGAGACCTCGAGACAGTGATGGCAGAGAGGCACGAGACAGTGGTGGCAGAGACTGACACGAGACAGTGGCAGAGAGATGCATGAGACAGTGGTGGCAGAGAGACTCTGAGACAGGGTGGCAGAGAGAGACACGAGACAGTGGTGGCAGAGAGAGACATCAGACAGTGGTGGCAGAGAGAGACACGAGACAGTGGTGGGCAGAGAGAGACACGAGACAGTGGTAGCAGAGAGAGACACGAGACAGTGGTGGGCAGAGAGACACGAGACAGTGGTGGGTAGAGAGAGAGACACGAGACAGTGGTGGCAGGAGGAGGCACTAGACAGTGGTGGGCAGAGAGACAGAGACAGTGGTGCGAGAGACATGAGGCAGGTGGCAGAGAGACACGAGACAGTGGTGTGGGTGAAGAGACAATGAGACAGTGGTGGCAGAAAGACACGAGAATGTGGTGCAGAGAGACACGAGACAGTGGTGGGTAGAGAGAGACACGAGACAGTGGTGGCAGAGAGATGCACGAGACAGTGCAGAGAGAGACACGAAACAGTGGTGGCAGAGAGACACGAGACAGTGGTGGCAGAGAGACACGAGACAGTGTGGCAGAGAGACACGAGACACTGGGTGGGCAGAGAGACACGAGACAGTGGCAGAGACACGAGACAGTGGTGGCAGAGAGAGACGAGACTGGTGGCAGAGAGAGACACGACAGTGGTGGCAGAGAGAGACAGACAGTGGTGGCAGAGAGAGACACGAGACAGTGGTGGCAGAGAGAGACATGAGACAGTGGTGGCAGAGAGACACGAGACAGTGGTGGTGAGAGAGACACGAGACAGTGGTGGGTAGAGAGGCACTAGACAGTGGTGGTAGAGAGAGACACGAGACAGTGGTAAGTAGAGAGATAGATGAGGTGCAGTGGTGGCAGAGAGACACGAGACAGTGGGTGGAGAGAGACACGAGACAGTGGTGGCAGAAAGACAATGAGAATGTGGTGGCAGAGAGACACGAGACAGTGGTGGCAGGAGATGAGACAGTGTGGTGGGTAGAGATGCACGAGACAGTGGTGGCAGAGAGAGACACGAAACAGTGGTGGCAGAGAGACACGACAGTGGTGGCAGAGAGACAAGGCAGGCAGAGAGACACGAGACACTGGTGGCAGAGAGACACGAGGACAGTGGTGGCAGAGACACGAGACAGTGGTGGCAGAGAGAGACGAGACTGGTGTTAAGAGAGAGACACGAGACAGTGGTGGCAGAGAGAGACACGAGACAGTGGTGGCAGAGAGAGACACGAGACAGTGGTGGCAGAGAGAGACACGAGACAGTGGTGGCAGAGAGAGACATGAGACAGTGGTGGCAGAGAGACACACGAGACAGTGGTGGCAGAGACACGAGACAGTGGTGGCAGAGATGCACGAGACAGTGGCAGTGGCAGAGAGAGACGAGACTGGTGGCAGAGAGAGACAGAGACAGTGGTGGCAGAGAGAGACACGAGACAGTGGTGGGCAGAGAGAGACACGAGACAATGGTGGGCAGAGCGAGACACGAGACAGTGGTGGCAGAGAGAGACACGAGACAGTGGTGGCAGAGCGAGACACGAGACAGTGGTGGCAGAGAGAGAGACACGAGACAGTGGTGGCAGAGAGAGACATCGAGACTGTTGGGCAGAGAGACACGACTTGGCATTAACTCACTAGAAGTAAGAAAATGGCACTAAGTCACTGTTACGACAGTCACTATCTAATGGTTCAGTATAAAGGGGGTGAAGACTGCCAAGGGTCGCCACACTGGATTGTCTTAATGCTTGGACCATAGTCTATATATGAAAGATAAGAAAACTCGTACGAAAGTTTTTGAAATAAACGTGCGCTGCAATGCCGGAATCAGCGTCATCTATCGGCAGAGAGACACGAGACAGTGGTGGTAGAGAGAGACACGAGACAGGGTGGGGAGAGGGAGTCAAAGTCACTCGAGAGTCACCATCTAATGGTTCAGTATAAAGGGGGTGAAGACTGCCAAGGGTCGCCACACTGGATTGTCTTAATGCTTGGACCATAGGCTATATATGAAAGATAAGAAAACTCGTAAGAAAGCTTTTGAAATAAACGTGCGCTGCAATGCCGGAATCAGCGTCATCTATCGGCAAGGCCCAACTAAAAACTCCCTCCAGGGGGGGGGGGGTCAATCTCAAACTCCACCTCTGCTTCTTCTTTTATTAATAATTATTATTTTTATTTTGTGTTTGTTATGTTCTCTTAGTTTATTAACTATTAACTTTTTTTTATCTTCTGTACAAGTAAATCGTTCAAAATGTGCTTTGTGTTGTAGTTAGTTATATAAGTTAAAGGAAGTAGAGGTAAGAGATTGATTTACGGTACTTATTAATGTACACTCGGAAACCACAATTTCTAGCGCACCCAGGTCGGGCCTGATTTGAGGACCGCGTCCTTTTTTGAGCGGCGGGCTACTAACTATCACGGGGCAACACGTGCACGAACACTAATGAACCCTTTGAGGCTTCGCTATCAGTCTGTCATGTTATACCCACTTGCGATGTATAATGGTAAGCAGTCATAGTATGGATGCATAGATGATAATATGTATTAGTATATTGCATTTTATACCCTTCAAAATATCGTCATAAACATTGGACCTGAAGGAAAAGTCTCACACACTGTAGTTAAGAAATTAAGATCCGAAGCACCGCCGTACAGGTGAGCGAATCACACAGCGATGACCGACCTGAAGTCATGTGTAGGAGAAGGCCCGCCGTTAGTGTGGACACAGTTGCTCAAAGGGTAAGTCCTATGTTTTCTTCGTTGTATTGCCTGACAAGTGCT